AGTCCTAGCTACTTGGGAGGCTGAGGCAGGAGAATTGCTTGAACCCAGGAGGTGGAGGTTGCGGTGAGCCAAGATCGTGCCATTGCACTCCAACCTGGGTAACAAGAGCGAAACTCTGTCTCAAAAAGAAAACACACACACACACACACACACACACCCCAGCTGGGCACGGTGGCTCATACCTATAATCCCAACAAATTGGGAGGCCAAGGCAGGTGGATCACTTGAGCCCCAGAGTTTGAGATCAGCCTGGCCAACATGGCAGTACCCCCTCTCTACAAAAAAATAGAAAAATTATCTGGGCAGTGTGGTACATGCCTGTGGTCTCAGCTACATAGGTGGCTCTGAGGTGAAAGGATAGCTTGAGTCTGGAGGTCGAGGTTAGCGTGAGCTGCAATCACACCACTGCACTCCAGCCAGGAGTGAGGCCCTGCCTCAAAACAAAACCACGCAAATCTTCCCTGCCACTCCCTTGCTGAAAATGGAAAGCTTTCGCCACCCTCATTGCCCATGGGGTGCAGTCCAAGCTTTTGAGCCTGCAGCTGGCATTGTCCACATCTCCTCCTGACCATTGCCCCATGCCTCTGCAACAGTAGTGGTGTCTCTTGCCCCAAGCACAGCCCTGTGGCAGCCCCCAGGCTCCTCGCGCTGCTGCCTGTGTTCAGGAGACCTCCCTCTCATTTGGCTCATTCCTGCTCATCCTTAAAAATTCATTAAAATGGAAACACCCTTTGACCCAAGAATTTGACTTCTAGAATGTTCCCTACAAATATACTTATGCACAAAGTTCTAGATACCAAGATGTTCCTCTTAGCGTTGTTTATAGTAGTAGAAGACTAGGAACGACCTCTGTACAAGGATGGGGAGCTGCGTGAATGATACTCAAGGAATGACACTACAGAGTATTCATCCCTACTACTGAGTGCTGGTCAGCCGGAGGAGTGGGTGAGGTCTCTGGGGATCAGCGGAAAGATGAGGTGTGGCACATTGTGTCTGCTTTGATCCAGTGAGTGTCAGGAACAAGTGGGGCACACGTGTGTGCTTACTCACACATGTGCCCATGCATGCACAGCACCTCGCCCATGGGACGGGGTACACAGAGGAGTAGGGACGGGGCTGAGTCCAGGCCAGCCCATAGGCTCACTGTTCACTGCACACCCTCCATGCATTCCACTTTTGTTTTTTAAAACCATATGTAAGTATTTTTCAAAAACGTTGTTTAAATAAAAAAGATTAAACCTCAGTTCAGGTATTGGCTCCCAGAAAGTCAGTCTGACCCAGGGCTTCTGCCAGGCTATCCTTTCACACATAACCTGTGCCCCACAGCACCTGGGATGACTGGCTGTGCCCCATTGAAATTATGATGCCATCATCTCAGAGCTCCCTGAGGCCAGGGAGCAAGCTGCACTTGTCTCAGAACCCTCTGGTACTTGGTGGGTTCTCAGTACGCACGTTGGTAGTGCCAAGTCCTTCTAGAAGCCCTGACCTGGTGATTGGCTGAGAGTCCAACAGAGTATCCTGCCCTTCCCAGAAGAGGGAGTCTGGGTCCACTCCAGCAGCCTTGGAAAGGCCTGGTGGATGAGCAGCTTTGTGAACACAGGAAGCCGGCTCCGTACTCCAAGTTGTGGACCGGAGACCTTTGAGTGCCAAGGGAGCTGCGGTTGTGAGGACATCCGTCCCTGTAGGTCTGCTCAAGCAGATTAGATGAGGTGGGTAGGCGGGTCAAGACAGGACAGGACGGGGAATTTCTCTGAGTCATTCTGAGAAACAATAGAGGAAGCTGCAGCGGGGTAATCACCACCACTTCTTGGCCTGTGGGTACTTCCTGTGACAAATCAAGTTGACCACATGTTCAAAGTGAGCTTGCAATCAAACCCAAGTGCTATCCAAATTCACTGGGGCCAGGCTGTTCCAGGCAGTATGGCATCTTGAGTACAGGCTCTGAGTGTCTCCTGAAGCCCAGAGCAGGCTGGGCCCAAGCCAAGGATGTGCGCTCTGAGAGGGTCAGCAACAGGTGCCTGGGCCTTCAGGACAGTGACCTGACACTCAGGAGCCCTGTGGCACAGCCACAGGAAGAGGGGTTTGACTCAAAGAGAAGGTCTGAGCCACAAGGTTGTTTTGTGGGAAAGGAAGTAGGCCAGGATGAATGAGGGGGTGGGGCTTATGAAGAGGCACATTTTAGCTTTGGAAAATTCAGTGGCTGTGGTGGGCTGAGGTGGGTACTGTGTGCCAGGCTTACTATCTGCCACCTGCAAGCTGAGTGATACCCTGTGTTGCTGTTAAGAGAAGTGACTTACCCAAAGAACACTGCCAGCATATGCCAAAGCAAAAATCAAAATGTGGGTCTGTGGTGCCTGCCGTCTCCTTGTGAGGTCTCATGAAGGGGAGCTTCAGATGGAGCTAAACAGTCCCCACCCAGGCTGTTGTGGAAGGAGGGAGGCCCGAAGTTGTTATATCCCTGTCCCTACCCCCTCGCCCAGGACAGGCAGTGCTGGTGAATACTGGACTGGTTGAGGCAAAGACCTAATCTCCCATTTGAATGTGAGGGCTCTAGAGAGAACACTGGAGCCCTCTTGCAGGGCATTTTGGCAGCGGCTGGCTGTGGTGGAAGGAAAACCTGTGTTTACTTTGTGCCTGCTGTATGCCGGGAGGATTGGCACTTCCCAGCTGGCATTCCTGGTAGCCGTAGAGGGAGGAGGCATTCGTTACCTCCTTGGTTCAGAGGTGAGAAGCGGTGAGGTGACTTGCCTAAGCTCACTGGGCAGTGGAGGGTGAAAGGCCCAGAAGTGGCCCCCAGGCCTCCCCTACTCCCCCGGCCCAGCCCAGGGCAGAATGCCAACACCTGGTACATCTTCCTCATCATATGAGCCAGGAGCTCACCTTCCATATTTGCCTCTCAGTCAGCACTTCTCTGAGGCCACGGTGTAGCAGGTGAGTCCTTGGGGTGAGACTGGAGCAGGGGGCTTCCATCTGGTTTCCATCTGGACCTGTCTTCCATGCCCTGTGGCCTTAGAGGTAGGGCTCTATCCCTGCCTCAGTTACTTTCCCTGCAGAAGGTTGAGGGGGTCCATGGTGCACAGGAAATGCTTTCCTTGGGTGGCTCTGCCTCTATGCACCTTTCACTTCTTCACATCTGTCCAGCTTCAGCCAGGCTAGCTGTGTGCCTAGTGGGCAGAGAGAGCTAAATGTGGGTCTGTGGTCCATGGCATCTCCTGGTGATGTCTCATGAAGGGGAGCTTCAGACAGAGCTAAACAATCCCCACCCAGGCTGTGGCATAAGGCTGTCTGCACAGAGTGGGAGGGAGGCCCGAAGTTGATGTGCCTCTGTCCCTACCCTGTTGCCCGGGACAGTGTTGGTGAATACTGGACTGCCTGCAGATGTGTGAGGCAGTGCAGCTCTGCAGCTTCACAGTCCCTTCACTGCCATGTAAGCTTGTTTCAGGGGCTGACTGATCTGTGCCTGCAGAGGGTACCTGAGGCCTGAAGCTCCTGTTTGCTTATCTGTAGAATGGGGATAATCACGCTGCCCATATGAGGCTTTTTTTCTTTTTTTGGAGACTGAGTTTCGCTCTTGTCACCCAGGCTGAAGTGCAGTGGCACGATCTTGGCTCACAGCAACCTCCGCCTCCTGGATTCAAGTGATTCTCATGCCTCAGCCTACCAAGTAGATGGGATTATAGGCACCCACCACCACCCCCAGCTAATTATTATTATTATTATTATTATTATTTTGTGTTTTTAGTAAGGACGGGGTTTCACCATGTTGGCCAGGCTGGTCTTGAACTCCTGACCTCAGGTGATCCACCTACCTCGGCCTCCCAAAGTGTCTGTGTGAGGTTTTGAGGAGTAGATGTGGTTGGGTCTGTAAAGGGTCTGACCTCAAGCCAACTCCATGTGACATCTGCTGTGCCTTCCTCACCCACACTGGGGAGGTCTGACCACAGGCCCTGTACCACCTCAGATTGTTTCATTTCCGAAACTGCTTTCTGCGTGAGTCAGCCCAAGGCTGGCCTTCTCCCTGTTGCCTACACATCCATGTGTGGGCTTCACCACTCTCCCACCGGAGCACAGCAGGAGGCAGCTAGCAGATGTGTTAATGCCAGTCTCCCCTCGGAACATGCGAAGGTATTGGAGCTTCACAGAGAAAGGAGGATGTGGGCCTGGGCCTTTGTGGCCTGGAGCAGCTAGCCTCTGAGCCACAGCAAAGTTCCATAACCTACCCAAAGCCACACAGTGGTGGCAACAGGGCTTAAACCCAGCTGTGTTTTGCTCTCAGGCCTGGGCTTTCCCTCCACAAACCCGGGTCTGTAGGCACACACATACCTGGTAATCTCAGGACAAATTAAGTGTGTGCCTGCGGATGCTCCCCGTAACACTCTGGACAGATGGTTACTGTTCTGATGAGCAGGGTGGTTGGGGTAGGCAGCAGAGTGTGTCCCAGACTGGGAATCCAGACACCTGGGTTATAGTCCTGACACTGCCCCATTGCTGTGTGACCTAGGACAAGTCACTTCACCTCTCTGGGAAGGAGAATCTACCTATAAAATAAGGGTTGGACCAGATCAGTACTCAGCAGTATTTTTCCTTAAAGATAGTATTTTAAGCTTTATAGGCCATGTAATCTCTGTCACAGCTCCTCAACTCTGCCATTGTAGCACAGAAACAGCCACAGACAATACATGAACAAATGAGTGTGGCTGTGTGCCAGTAAAACTTTATTCACAAAAACAGGTGGCAGGCCGGATTTTATTGGTGGATTGTGGTTTGCCAACCCCTGAGCTAGAGGATCTCATAACGCACTTGCAGCCATTGTTATTCTAGGATTCTGTGGCAGTGGCCGTGCGTGCTGGAGCTGGACCCCAAGCTGTGGATTAATCACCAGTCGGCTTTGATGCCGGTCAAGAAATTAGCATCTGTCGATTTCTAATGTGGTTGTATCCCACGAGGGAGGAGAGGGAAATTTTAGTCTTTGGTAACCAGTTCTGTTTTTCTCTTTGTAGAATGCTGAGATGTATAAACTGTCTTCACAGCAATTCCATGAGGCAGCTTCGAAGATGGAGAGCACAATAAAGTAAGAATTTGTTTATTACTCTTTGTAAACTTGGCCCGAATTTGCAAAAACTCCCACATGTGGCTTGAAACCTGCCACCACCTGCTTAACTTCAAATTTCCCTAATAACACACACAACCATCTGTTCCTCAGCTCTCTCACCTGGATCTGAGGTACTCATTGGTCACCTGTAATTGGCCAAATTAGCACTCAGTTCGTCTCTAGCTCCTTGGCAAATTGGAGTGGGGCTGGGATAGACTTGCAGAGTTATTTTCAGGGCCTGGTATCCGGTGAGCAGGTGCTCCTTTCCTTGTTTGGCTAGCTGAGGAGCTGGCCATCAGGCCCCAGAGGGAGTTGGGGCAGGGGTGCTACTGGCTCTTCTCCCGTCTGGCTATGGACAGGTTTTCACGGTAAGGTGTCCCCTCTCAGTGCTTCCTGTGCCTGGTACGTGCAGTGCACCCTGTGCACGCTCATACTCGGAGTGGCTCACACTTCATGCCCAGAGGAACTGAGGCCCAGAGGTGCTCAGGTCACACAGTCCTAAGTGCCAGTGTTCCATCCCCTGTCTGTGGTGCTCCTGTGCTGTCCATTGAGGACTCAGCTAGAATGTCACAGGAGCAGGGAGGTGCTCACAGTGTGTCCAGTACCAATGTGGCTCTGCTCGGTCAATAGTATAGTTCCCAGGAAGGTTAGAAAGTGATCCCTGCAGGAGGGAATCGGGTCTTATGGGTTCTCTGTGTGAAGCTGGTCTCTGTGGACCTAAGAGACCTTCATAAATTAGCCAAGGAGCTACCACCAACTCCATTCACTCCCTGGGAAGTCCTCTCCCTCCCAAGAGTGAATTGGGGCAATTCACCTTGCAGCCCTCAAGGCACAGAATTGTGAGTAATGGGTCTGGCCTCATGAGAAAGAAGTGTCAAAGACGGGTTTGGATGATACTTATAAAAACAGCTGTGCAGAGAACTATGAAAAGCTGGAAGGACAGTGGGGACAGATGTACAGTCAGCATAGACCCAAAGGCACAGAATAGGACAGGGAACAATGTGGGGTGGTTTGGGGGTCTTTTTTTGAGACAGGGTCTCACTGTGTGACACAGGCTGGAATGCAGTGGTTCAATTGTGGCTCACTGCAGCCTGACCTCCTGGGCTTAGGTGATCCTCCCACCTCACCTGAGACCACAGGCATGTGCCACATCCAGCTAATTTTTGTATTTTTTGTAGAGATGGGGTTTCACTTTGTGTTTTTGACACAAAACACGCAAAGCTGATGGGGATACTACATATTGTGGCAGAGCCATTTCTGAATGGGTTTGGGTACGGAAAAATTATCTTGAAATGTGGCTGGGCGTGGTGGCTCACACCTGTTAACCCAGCACTTTGGGAGGCCGAGACAGGCAGATCACCTGAGGTCAAGAGTTGGGGATCAGCCTGGCCAGCATGGTGAAACCCTGTCTCTACTAAAAATACAAAAATTAGCCAGGCATGGTGACAGGCACCTGTAATCCCACCTACTCGGGAGGCTGAGGCAGGAGAATCACTTGAACCTGGGAGGCAGAGGTTGCAGTGAGCCGAGATCATGCCACTGCACTTCAGCCTGGGCAACAGAGTGAGACTCCATCTCAGGAAAAAAAAAAAAAAAAAAAAGAAAGAATGAAAGAAAAGGAAACCAATTATCTTGAAATTTCAAGTCCTGTAGCAATACTAGGAGCCTGGGAGGAACAGAATTTTCCAGCAGGCAGATGGAGACAAGGACAGGTGTTAAGGTAGAAGCACAGTCCTGCTGATGCTGGGACCTCACAGTGCCTGAGTGAGTGAGCACCAAGGCTGCCTGCATCCAGGAGTGGAGGGTGCTGACTGCCCTGCAGGGTGTGAGCCACCCTGCACACAGACACCCTGCCCTTACTGATAGCCAGCCTTCAGCCTGTTTCTAAAGGGCTCCCCCCAGTATGTCCTGTTCATCTGGGGCTGAGAAATACTTGGAATCACAGAACATTGAGAGGGAGAGCTGTGGTGGCAGCCACATCAAAGAGGCTGCTGAGTGACAACCACAGCATGGATGTGATCCCTGGAGATGGGCCAGCCACAGCTGCTGCCCTCCCCTTACCTGAGCGGCTTCTTTGAGGGCCAACAGCCCCTCCCTCTATACCTGGAGCTGGGACCCACCTGCCAAGGAGAAGATGCACTGGGGGAGAAGCCAGGCAGCTTTCTGTCGGTAACCATAATGCTTGTCACCTGCCAAGTGGCCCACCATCCCTGAGAGTGGGGACTCCTGCCCCACCGGCCCCTGCTTTTGTAAATGTGGCTTTATTGTCATAGCCTTTCTCATCCTCATATCCTCTGAAGGCAAGATGGGATGGATGTGAATGTATTTTTAATTTGAGAGAAGTGGGGTTTTGTTTGTTTACAGCATCCCTTGATATTTACTAAGCAATAAGTACTCTGCAAGGCATTTCAACTCTATAGTTACTCTTGTTAGTTTCATGTACAGGTAAAGAACTAAGGCTGGAGAGGTCAAATAACTCCTCCTTTTGTCCATGGTCACTGCTGGTTCTGTGGCAAGGCTGGGGTTGCTCTTCCTTTGTTTGTCTTTGTGTCATTTCTGTCCCTTGCAGGCCTTGCCTAAATGTAAGATGGCAGCAGGGTGGAGCTCTCAGAGCTTGCCTGAGCTTTGGACTCTAACTGGGCTCAGACTTCAGCCCCACCCCTTAGCAAGTCACTTCCTTCTACAGGCCTCTGTTTCCTCACCTACAAAACAAACAGGACACACTCTTTAAGTGACAATTGAGTAAGATTCCACATAGAAAGGGATGTCAACAGCTGTTGTAGATATTAGTGTGTGACTGTTTGCTATGGACTAAGTGTTTGTGTCTTTCCAGAATTCATATGTTGAAACCTCACTCCCAATGCGGTGATATTAGGAGGTGGGGCCTTTGAAAGGTGATTAGATCATGAGGGTGGAGCCTTCGTGAGTGGGATTGTGCCCTTATAAAAGGAACCCCAGAGAGCTCCCTTTCCTCTTCCACCATGTTGAGGACACAGAGAGAAGACACCATCTATGAACCAGAAAATGGGCCCTCACCAGACATCAGATCAGCCAGTGCCTTGATCTTAGACTTCTCAGCCTCCAGAACTGTGAGGAATAAGCATCTATTGTTTATAAGCTGCCCAGTCTATGGTACTCTATTATAGTGGCCTGAATGGGATAAGATACTGTTAATAACAGCAGTCATTTGAATCACTTTTTTGCAGCACCTAGCTGGGTACAGAGTAGAAAAGATTTGATATATAAATTGAGTTTACAAAAGCACTATCCCCAAATACAGTAAACAGGAAGCAGTATACAGTTAGAAATTATTTAACTTAAGCATTGAGAGAAAAAAATCTTTGAGATATTTCTTGGATTAGCAAATATTATAAATTATATCATAAATGTCATAGAAATAAATGCGAACTACCCATAGCAATAATATTGAGGAGTTTTCTTCCAAGTCCATAAGTATCTTTTAACAACTTTTGGCTTAGATGGTAAACTAGATGTCCATGTATTCATTCATTCATTTAATACACATGTATAGAGTGCCTGCTGTTTGCCAGAAACCATGCTAGGCCCTGGAGTCACAGTGATGAACAAGACAGCTGCAGTGCCTGCCAGCAAGGAGTTTATAACATTTGGGGAATGATAAACAATGTTTTAAAACTAATTGCACAACAAGCAATTACCCAGTTAATTAATTATAGCAATGAGTGAAAAGAAAGTTTGAATTAGAAAGAATGTCACGTGGTAAGAAAAGCATTTTAAACAGAAAGATTAGTATGTGCAAAGGCCCTGAGACAAGAAGCCGTTCAACTTACTGAAGGAATTGGAAAAAGGCCAGTATGGCTGGAGAGTAGTGAATGAGAAGAGAGAAAAAGGGGAAGCTCCAAGAAGTGAGCATGAGCAGACCATGCAGAACTTTGTAACCATAGTAGGAATTTTAACTTGATCCTAGGGGCAGTGAAATTACCTCTTCCAAAGCTTTATTTCTCTTCTAATATATGCATTTAAGGCTATACATTTCTTTATAAACACAGCTTTAGCTACATCCTACAAGTTTTGATGTATTATGTTTTTAGTATAAATCAGTTAAAATTTTTCCAGTTTTCTGATTTCTTCTTTACTCATAGGTTACTTCAGAGTATATTAATTCCAAACATTTAGGAATTTTCTAGTTACCTTTTTTATAATTGGTTTCTGTTTAATTCCTCTGTGATTAGAAAACATACTCTAAATTCTTTGACAATTTTTGAAACTTGATTTATGATCTAATATATGATGTGCTTTGGTTAAACTGTCCATGTGCATTTAAAAAGAATGTGTATTCTTTCAGTAGATGTAGTGTTCCATATTTTCAATTAGGTTAAGTTAGTTATGTTCAAATTTTCTACATTTTTAATGATTTACAGATTTGTTGTTTTTTTCTGACACTTCCTTTCTGACTACAGGTTTTTTTGTTTTTGTTTCTGTTTTTTACTTTTTCTTTTCTTTTCTCTCTCTCTCTTTTTTTTTTTTTTTTTTTTTTTGAGACAAGGTCTTCCTCTGTCACCTGGGCTGTAGTACAGTGCCATGATTATAGTTCACTGCAGCCTCAACCTCCTGGACTCAAGATATTCTCCTGCCTCAGCCTCTTGAGTAGCTAGAACCACATGTGCACCACTGCACTCAGCTACCTTTTTAAATTTTTAGTAGAGAAAGGGTTTTACTATGTTGTCCAGGCTGGTCTTGAACTTTGGCTTATGCTATCCTCCTGTTCTGCCTCCCAAAGTGCTGGGATTATAGGCAGGAGACACTGCATGTGACTGGCCTTCATTATTTTTTTTAGTGTATCTTTTCTGATAAAAGCTCTATTTCTAATTGTATGTAAACACCTTTTCAACCTTCATTTTGAAAAATATAACAGTCATTCCTTAAGCTCTTTGAAGATACCCTTACATTCTCCTTTGATTTTTTTCCTTGAGAAATCAGCGGATGATATTGCTGTCATTCCTTTACTTTTTTTTCTCTATTTTTAAGATTTTCTCTGTCTTTGGTTTTGCTAAAGAAAGTTATAGACTTTCTTTATTTTGTTTTTGGGGGGTCTTGAAGTTTGACATCCTTTTCTCAGTTTTGGAAAGCTCTGACCATTATCCCTTCAGATAACACTCTCCCCTATTTCATCTTTCTTCTTTTCTGAAGTTTGTTACATGTATTACTGACTCAAATGTCTCTTGTTCTTTTTTCTCGTTTTCCTAATTTTTAAAAAATTTCCATGCTGTAGTTGGAGTTCTCCCTATTGGTCTTTTAGTTCATTGACCCTCTTTATTGTGTCAAGTGTGCCTTAAATCTATTGCTTTCAGAATTTCTGTTATTGAATTTTTTTAATTATAAAAGTTCCATTTGCTTTTTTTTTTTTTTTTTTAAGGTTCCCAGTCTCTAGTGAAATTCTACCCTTTTCTCTCTATTTTCTTGAACATATTAGTTACAGTTATTTTAAAGTCATCTAAGGGTCTGTTTCTGTTCCCTTTTTTTTCTCTTGTGGTCCTGTTTATTTATATATTTGGTAATTCTTGATTTAGTATCAGAAATTGTTTGGAAAGATGACACAGGTCATCTGTAATATGACTTTCCCCAGAGATGCCTAGGGATGTGGCTTCCCAGGGTCCCTCTTTCTTGGTGAGCTTAAACCACTAGTTTTGTTTTCTCGGCTCTGTGAGACTTTTGAAAATTCCACTCTTTCAGTGGCCTTTTATTAGTTAGCGTCTTAGCTTCTTGCCTGAGTAGCTCGAGAATTTGACAAATGTTTTAAAAGAAGAAAACCACTGATAATTGTCTCACTGCTGTGTAGTACCCTTCTCTCTGGAATCCTAGCTCCCTAAGTCCTAGCTGCCCAGACAGCCTCCACAGGAGTGTTGCCTCCCTATTGTCCTGTGAGACTGCCTATAGCCTCCACAGCTTTTCTTGCCTTTCAGCAGAAGCTATTTGCCTGACATTCAGCCTGTCTTCCTGAACCAAGAATTGGCAGAAACTTTGAGGGGAAAAGTGGCTCTAAGAACAAACACTCACCTCTCCACAGTTCCCTTCCCTTCATAATCTTGGACCTCAAGTTCTAGTTGTGTTGGTCCTTAGATGCCTTCAGACAGATTTTTTGTATTCCAACTTAATTCTTTTCCCCCTCGGGAGAGAAGATAGGCCTTTCACAAGCTGCTCCATTGTAGCTGGAAGCAGAGGTCCTAACTTAGTTTTTGAAGAATGACTAGAGTTTACCAAGCAGTAAAGGGCCACCCCAGGTAAAGCAAACAGTAAGATCCTAAAGCCAGACCCTTTTCATTTTAGCAGCAGGAGGCATTGAAGGCATGGGCGACTCTCCCAGCTTCTCTTGGGACACCAGCCTGTACCGAGGCCTGGATCAAGGCCAGCATATGTCAAGATCTCAGAAGATTCCTGCCTCAGGGCCAACAGGGAGCCCTCCACCGAAGAGAAGTATTGATGGCAAGGCTGACAGTCACAGGCTAGGGCCTCTTGTTTTGGAAGAATCCTATTGTTAAGTTAGAAGTGAGTATTCAAAGTGTGTATGTACACCCCTACCCACCCACCTCACAGCAGCACAGAAGGCAGAATTGTTCAGATTTTCTGAAGGAAGAGATTAAGACCCCAGGGAATCTCATGCATTTATTGTGTCATATCTATTTTTTATGACAACCTTCAGTCCCCTTCCCGTGGGATTCGTTCAGAATCTATCTTGGCTTCTTCTTGTAAGGAAACTTGTACAGTCCTCCCTGGCCCCACAGAGAGCCAGCCCTCAAAGAGGTTACAACAATTGAGTTGAAGGAAGAAGGTTATTAACTATTTCCTGAAACTGAGCCATTGTGTTCCAAGGACTTTGATCCAGAGAGGCCTGATTAATGTGGATGTGGCAGCCTTGGGACTTGCTAGAGCGGAGCTGTTGCTGTGTGCTTTCACCTGCACTTGGAAGACAGGACTTAGTAAACTCTGGGAGGCTTTGGGACCCACCTGAGAGCATGCTTTGTTTCTAGGCACCTCAGCTTCCCCAGTTTGCATTTATTTAGTCAGCTAATGACAGATGACCTATTAAATTAGTGGTCAGTTATTTGAACCCCAAAGAAAATGGCCTTCTAAACATTTTTAATCCAGATAGAATTCATCTTAGCCTGAATTCAAAAGATGCTACTATATCTCACTTTCCTATGTAGATAACCTTAGATGACTTTTCAAAGGAAATGTTTTCTATGCAGAAATTTACTGACATGTACAGCTTAAACTGATGGACCCTGCTCTTTGAGAAGTTAACAATCAAAACCTATTTAATACATTCATATAACACTTCAAAATTTAGTTAATTTCTTATTTTAAAAACACTTACTGAACATCATCACGTGCCAGCAACTGTGCTTGGCACGTGTACTGTACCCTGTTCCCCACCTTTACAAGAAGCTCAGGTGACAGATGCCATTATTATTCCCATCCTGCAGATATGGAAATGAAGGTAAATTCATTGACCTCTCAGACTAAGTTTCCTGATCTGTGAAACAGGGATGATGGTGCTGCCTACTTCTGTCAGGTTCTTATGAAGGCCAGATGTAATAATCCACATTTGCTTACAGAGACAACCCAGGGAGAGGCAGGTGGGATTTGAACCCAGGTGTGGATGAATCTCACCTTGCTCTTTTCTGCTGTACTGAGATATGTATCTCTCAGAATGTACAGGATGAAGGTATTCAGCTGCTTGCTGCTTACCTGATTGTCTGGCTGCCCCAGTGCTGGCTGTGCCCTCCCCTGAATTCCAGCCCACCATGTGTGTTTGTGTGTGTGTGTGTGTGTGTGTGCGTGTGCCCACGCACTCTTGTTTCCTAAGCTGTGGCATCTTGTGCAGGTATTTACTCCCATGCCAGTGCTTACAGACTTCTGCCACCTTTGTAACAAGGGAAACAAAGATGCATGGAGAGAGTTGACCAACAGTAATTAGTGTTTGTGCAGCTTGTGGGAATGGAAAGTCAAAACAAAAGATGCTGGGTGACAGTTTTCTCTCAGGACCACACCCCGGCTGTTTCTGTGGGTGGTGGGGTGAGCCACCATTGCTGGTGGTGTTGTGGGTATGATAAAGAGGCTGCTTCCATCCTGTGCCCAGCAGATCACACATGTATCCCAGCGGCCTGCTAAACCTGGATGGGGCTTGAGATCCTTCTTGCCACTGTGCTCCAGCAGCCGGTCTCAGCCATGTGGGGTTGGCATCCAAGGTGAAACCCATTTGACATCCCTGGGCCAGATGAATTCTAAATATAGAGTTTTCAGTTCTGAATCTCTGTTCTCAGTCTCTGATTTCAGAACACAGAGTCTGTCAAGCTGTTTGTCTTTGTATATCCTACTTTCTGTCTAGAATGACCTCCCTCTTCTTTTCTTACAGATTATACTGTTTAAAATTCAACTTAAGCATCTTTTTCTGCTTACTGTTTGTCTTACGCAGAGGTCAATCTAATATCTTATTTATATCTGTATCCCCACCATTCCAGCCAGGACTTAGCCATGATGGATGCTCCCCAGGTCAGTGTCAGATGAATGGATGAAGTGACACCCACTGTGGGATTTGAAAATAAGCAGTTGACTGTTTAAGCACCTACTCATGCCACAGGGCTCTGTCTGGATCAAGGCCCTGAACAGGGACAGGGCCTCACCTCATTTTAGATAGAGCCTTGCACGAGGCAGGAGCCCCACACAGGGCAGAGACTCTCGGTGACTGAGGGTGCAGATATTAGCAGTGCTACCTGATGTGTGGCCTGGGTCAGATGACATAAATGCTGAGATGCAATTCCCATACTTCTGAAGTTTGGTTGGAGGGCATCATGAGGTAATTTGTTAAGCCTCTAGGAAAGCTTCAGGTACATAGTAAGCACTCGATAAATGGTAGGCGTTGTGACATAGAAACATTTTAGTGAGAGATTGGAGTATAATAGCGAAAAGAGGGCACATTCCTAGGTGCATAGAGTATATCAGTAACTGAACCTAGAGCCAGGAAGGAAAGGGACACCTAGGACTCAGCAGCTCCTCCTTATGTGCCCCAGAGAGAGGCTTACCTGTGTGCACCAGCAGCCACGGGCACAAGGGGCACTGCGGCCCTGATTCTGAGTGTGTAGATCGGAAGCAACCTCTCTACCTAGTGAGAGGCGATGTGTAACACAATTCCCCCAACCCTGGAGCTCCAGGCGGCAGCTACAGCATGCGCTGTGCATGCTGGCTCCCAAAGATGCCGGAGACCTCTGGTTGGGGAAAAAGTGAATTGTAGTTCACAATACATGTGTACAGTTGACACACATATGGTAGCACCATCTCTGTTCTGTAGACATGTGTATATTTATGTAATACAGAGAAAAAGTCTGAAAACGTATGTTCCTGACGGGAGATAATAGTTACCTCTGGTTAGTATGGAGAAGTTCAGGATTATGAAAAGCGTCAACAGGGACTGTAGCTTTATCTGAAATGTTGCTTATTTAAATACATACATATATATATATATTCTCTCTCACACACACATAAAGCTTATATAATTAAAAATTAATAAGACTACAAACACAACCACAAGGAAAGGAACAATAATGACTTGGGCCAGGGGTGAGGGAGGTTCCCAGTGCAATGGGACATCAGTTCCCCAAGCTGAGAGTGACCACAAGAGACAGGCGCTGCACCCAGAGCCGGGTTCCTGGTTGTGCGAGTGGGAGAGACTGGGAGTGTGCTGTTTGCCAGTCAGGGCTTGGCTTCTGACCCCCCGAGGTGTATGAGGCAATCTCCTTTCCTCCTGAACTCAAGCTGTGGTTTTGAAATATCCTTTAACTGAGGATCTGGTGCTCAAAAGAAATTATTTGTGGACATGTGAACACCTGAGGCACAGACAAGCTGAGATTCTGGGTGAAGCCAGAATGGCCGGGCCTGGAGGGCCTCTCCTCCGCAGACATGCTGAGGATCTTAGGTCAGAAGCCCAGTAGCCAGGAGCTGAGGCCGCAGGAAATATGGGCGCCTTTCCTTCCAGGCCTCCATCACCTGGCTTTCATTCAGGCCTGGCTCACTCACTTGCTTAGGAGCTGCTGGCCAGGTTTTTTGCATCTGTCATTTCACGTGTTAGTGGGAAGTAATGAGAGATGAAGCTTGCAGCAGTCAGTTTAGCTATTTTGCTGTCGGGTGTATCCAAAGACTCCATCGGGAATGAAGTTGAACCTTCATTGGAATAAATGAAACTTAGGAGTTAGGCAGTGGCTTTCTGTTCCCCATTCTGTCCTGTCACCATGAATAATCAAGGGCTGGGCGCCTGGCACTCCATTTGGGACTGTGCTGTGTGGGCAGGCAGTGGACAGATTGGAGAGACTCCAGAAGGAGAGACCAGAATGGTTTAAGGGTTGAAAAGGTAAAACACACAATTTGGGCTCCCAGGAAAGGAGAAGGCTGACCAGAGGGTGGAATTTTCTTCCTCTGAGAAGGAAACATTGTCTGAATAGTATCAGGGCTAGAGCCTTGGACTACAGCTATGAAAACTTAAATTAGATCTAGCAAAGAACTTCCTGACTTGCAATGAGACATTATAATGTGATAACTGTGTAAACGTTTAAGAAAAACCAGCAATGTCACTCTGTACTAGCACTAGGAATGTGGTATACAGCCAGCCCTCTTCCACATCTGACCACGGGCAACAGAAGGGCCACATGCTCTGCATCAGCATCAGTGTTCTGTCTCTGTCTCCCCTGGTTGGCTGGCAGGCAGGCAGCCACCATGCTTCTCCTAGGAAGTATCCTAGTGGTTTTCTCTTGGACCCTGCTTAGAGCATGGAGGCCTTCCCCTTTTTAATAGTTTACTCCCATAACACCTGCCCCAGCACCGGGGGCCACCATCCACAGAAGGGAGCCACAGACAGCCCGAAGTGTATTTGCCGTATAACCTTCTTCCCCCTTATTTTTTTTTTTAAATCATCATTTCTCCTTAAAGACGGGATTAAATGATGGTCATCTAGAACTTAACCTCTGATTCAGTCCAGTCAGCCTTTCCTGAAGCTGGCTCGGTGGCAGGCTCTGTGCCAGGCAGGATGTGTAATGACAGACAAGACCATCCTGGAGGCCCTTGCCTCCACTGCAGAGCACAGATGCACTCCCAGCCACCACGCTTGCAATGTCCTCACCTTCCCACTCAGCACTCTTGTTCCATAGGCTTGGCTCAAATGTGTCTTTCTTTATAAAAGTAAAAGGCTCTCTCAAATTCTCCTGGCCCACCCAAGACAGAGTTAGCTCTGCCATCTTTGCTGCCCCCAGAGAACCTGGGAGGCCCAGGGAATATACCTGGCTGCCACTTATACGTCTGTTTTGTACTCACCTGTTCAGGCACTGCATTTTGTTAGACTATAGGCTCTTTGCAGACAGGAATCTTGTGTTACTCATCTTTGTATCCTTGGGGTCTAATACTTATGAACTCAGAGAATATTGAACAGAGGAAGAAAATCCCTGTGACAAAGAGTGAGTGCCACAGCTGTGCATGAGGAAAGCACTCCCACAGCAGAGAGGATGGCAGGACTCGCTTTGCCGGAGCAGTGAGGCTTCAGAGATGAACTGACCTTGTGCTGAGCCAAGGTGAAGTGGATCAGGATGGGCTCTGTGGCCAGGGGCCAGTGTGAGTGGAGACTCAGGTGGACCTCTCTTCCTGGAGTATTAGAGGAAGGACAAGGACCAGGCAGGCTGGTCAAGAAGCAAACATCCAAGAGGGTAGAGATAAGGCTGGTGGGACAGGGTGATTCTGATGTGAAGAACCTTTGGTGCATTCTAAAGAATTCGAGATTCATCCTCAGGCAGTGGTAAGTCATAAAACAGCTTTTAAGCAGGGAATTGATATGATTGAATTTATGTTTTACAAAGAGATCTGGCAGCATTTGGGAGAACCAAGCAGTAATGATGTTGAGAACAGAAACAAGGGCTCCCTGAAACGCTGCCAGCCAGGAATGACTCACCCATTCCACAGTTACACACTGAGTACCTCCCATGCCGGCGCAGTTCTGGGAATACAGCTATGAACCAGCAGGAGGCTTCCTGCTCTCAGAGCAGAGAGACAAATGGTCAGCAACAAAATAAGGTTATTTTATACAAAGTGCTATGAAGAGGGAACAGTTGGGTAATATGAGAGAGGATGGCCAGGACTTTGTCGGTCTCAGGATCAGGATGCTCTCTGACATTCAAGCCGAACTGAGTGCTGAGGAGGAACTGGACAGATACCTGACTACTGTGAGACTCTGGCCTCTAAGCAGCAGCTGTGGCTGAGAGGAGGGCTGGGCCCAGAGGGAGATGGCTGGGGAGCCGGCAAGGGCAGGGCAGCAGGGAGGCTCCCGACCAAGGCATGGGGCATCCGCTGAGCATGAGTGCCAGGAGTGTTCGTCTGCTGCCCACTGCCAGGGCTGTGTGCAGAGCAAGGGCCCCATAACTGTCCCAGTACCCAAACCAGAGGACACAGGAAGCTGTTGGGGGACGGTGGACTCAGCAGTCCTGTTTGGTTCTAAGTGCTGGAGCATGTGTAGAGGGTGTCTTGTCCAGCCAGCTCTGAAAGTGGCAGCTGCAGGCTTAAGGGGAAGGGCAGCCTCACTGTGCACAGGCTTTAGCCCAGTGCTTTCTGAGTGCTCAGAGATCCATGACTCAAAAAACTGGGCTTAGAGATGAGAATTTGTTAATCCCCTCCCCTCGACTGAGATGAAAATGGCATTTTATTCCCAGCTCTATTATTGGACTCACTTCCGGAATAAAGCCAGCGTCCCCAAAGGCAGTGGCTGGGGTTCTCCTTTTTGTCATTTTTGTTTTCTTTTGAGTGTTACATTTAGATTAGCTTCTGGGGGGATTAAATGTTATTACGGTTGAGGAATCTCTTTTCTTTTTTTAATCAGTAGAGAGGTTACCGCTTAGCATCACTGCTGTTAGATTTATTTTCTTAAGTCCTGCAGCCTCCTCTGTTCCTATTCTTAAGAGAAAGCTTTGCATCAGTTGTGTCTGGTTATCTGCCCCTTGGGGGAGCAGACGTCGTCACAGGCAGCGCTTTTCCATTCAGCAAGACAGAGCAGACGCACCCCTGCAAGGTGCCCCGCATGGTGTGCACACACTGCTTCTGAGGACACAGCCCTGGGGGTGGGGGGCAGGAAGTTGTTCATTGGTAAAGTGTTCCCCTCAGATCTGGCTATGGTAGACCATAGTACCCAACCCAGGGAAGCTGCAGTGGCTCCAGGCCGCACTGACTTCTGTGAGAGCCCACCAGAGGGACTGCTGTGGCGGAGACCCGTCTCCTGGCATCTGGTTCTTATTGGACTAGGGTGGATGTTACAGAAAGACTGATTTCTTGTGTGGCATTGTGTAAAAGCATATCCATCTTAACAGACCTTGAAGTTTAGAGGTTTAGAGACAGGTATCAGGTGATTGTGTTTCAGGATCTAACAACCTCTAGACCACGGGAAGAAAGTC